GTGCGCTTGTTGAAACCACAGGTCATGCAAAAATAATCTCTAGAATTTGGGCAAAAAAAAAAACGAATAGAAACAATTCCGGTCTATAATGTCGCTAAAATCATAAGAATACCTTATATGGGTATGCTGCGTTATATGGGACCTATACAAAAACGTGGACCGACATGGCCCATTTACGAACTTGTACTTGCTAGTAGGCAGGTGTACTAGCAAAATACATACGTGTTAAAAATTTTAGGATCCATTCGAAATATAGCGTGATTACAACAGACAGACATACAGAGCTTTGCAAATTTATAGAGTGCTTTGGAATACTTCAGGAATTATGGACTTGAGAACTGGGTCGTGTCGGTAATTTCGCCAAATTTTTTGGTATTTTGAGTACGGCCCTTACATAAAGATACCTGATTTTAGTTATTGCACACCTAAACATTTAAATCGATATCTTCTGAAAAACGTACCCCTTCCATTATTTTTCAAATTGGGTCAAACAATAACGACATTCGCAGACATAGTATTGCCGTTGTGTTTTACTGAGAAACCCCTTATTTTGTATTCTTTCAATAAAATATCAAAACTTGTTCCAAATCAAAAAAAGAATTTTGAAAACATGTCATGACTAAGCACTAACAAAACGCACCAAGGCAGTATGAGGAGGGAAACAAAACAAACTAAATAAAAACATGAGGAAAACTATAAAATTGAAACGCACACATACACACAAACAACAGCGTAAATAAAGAAAACACGGGAAAATAAATAAAAATTTGAATATTTCGTGTTTAACACAAATTCAAATACATTTGCCGTTTTATATTTATATATAAATATTAAAAAACTGGAGAGTCATTTCCGTTTGATATTTAACCAAGGATATTCCACTTCCAATAGACACCAACACAACACAGTCATACACACAAACACACGCACCCACACACACACACTTAAATGTATTATCCTGGCTTTGAGTGGTTGTATAATAAACTAAAAATATGAAAAAAATCGAAACCTCCTAAATTCATGAATCGTATAATTTATACAATATTTTGAAACAAAACCTACATTAACATAAAATTTCAGATATTCTAATTTGTGGTTCTCCTCAGGTGATGTATCCAAATATGGCTTATTGTAAAACCAATAGATTGAATATAGAGAGAGAATTTCGATTTTATGAAGTTAGTTCTAATCTAAAAAAAAATTTCTGCATGCCAAAATTAAAGGGTCCTTAACAAAAAATTTCCCATTCAAAATTACTAACAATGACAAGCACATACCCTCTGGATTTTCAGCAGGCCAAGAATAACACTGTACGACCAAATTCACGTTTCTTGATAATTAAAGGAAAAATTACAGTACAGTACAGGTGAGATGAAAAAGCTGCAACCAACTTCAGACTGCTGTCATTTCTAAGCCACTCGTCCGACCGCTATTAAAATTATTCCAGTGACAGATAATTATATTGTTTACAAGCGTACAAAAGCAATTTGGTGAGAATTTTCGAGCAAAAAAAGTTCTTCGTGATGGAATTCAAGCGGGATAGTGTGATTTCTTTATATTTGGCTGGAAAACCACAAGTGGCTATTGTTAGAGCCCTCCAGCATTTAAATGTGAAAAAATCTTTTGTGTCTCGTAGCATCGCTCGTTTCCCATTACGTGATACTGGTAGCGTAGCCCGACGAAGGAAGTGGACGGAAGAAAACAGCAACATCAGCAGAAATGGTTCAAAAAGTAAAGAAGCAACCTGATCGAAACCCGCGTCGCAGTTGCCGAAAAATGGCTCGTGAGCTGCACATTTCGCAATATTCCATTTGGCAAATATTGAAAAATGAGCTCGGGGTAATGCCATTAAAATTCCAAAAAGTTCAAGAACTTATACCGCAACGAAAAGAAAATAGGCTCAAAAAAGCTTAAGAGATGCTTCGCTTGGCCGAAAGTGGTGAATTGCCGAATTTGGTTTTCTTCGTTTCCGATGAGAAATAATTCGTTGTCCAGCAGTTTGTAAACAAACAAAATTATGGACCGTGTTTACTTGCCAAAGAGGTCAGCTGAAAATGTGACCCTCGGTTGGCCACCAGAACTCAAGGGACGGCCATGGTGATGGTGTGGACCGCCACAACAGCCGATGCTCGCTCTCCGCTCGTATTAATTCGACCGTGACATCAGAAAAAATGCCGAATATTATCGCGAAAATATTCTGGAGGGGTTATTAAAGCCTTGGGCACGCAAACATTTTGGCCACAGACCTTGGACATTCCAACAGGACTTGGAACCATCGCACTCAGCACGCGCCACCCAAGAATGGTTACAACATGAGGTTCCTCTCTTCATTTCCAGCGCACTATGGCCACCAAAATTTTCGCATACCAATCCGTTGGACTATTGTGTCTGGAGCATTTTGGAAAGCAAGATTGGAACTAAAAAATACCAAAGTGTCGATCACCTCAAGCAAGCGCTACGTATGGAATGGGCCAAAATACAGCAAAGCATCATTCGGGCAGCGTGTGATGGTTTCATTGGCCGTTTGAAGGCCATAAGTCGTGCCAATGGTGACTAATTCGAACAAATCTAAACTTATTCTAAAATTTGAAGCTATTTCCGACATTTTTATACCCTCCACCGTAGTATGGAGGGTATATTATGTTTGTCATTCCATTTGTAACACCTCGAAATACACATTTTAGACCCCACAGAGTAAATATATTTTTGATCAGCATAAAATTCAATGTCGATTTAGCGATGTCCGTCCTTCTGTCCGTCTATCGGTCTTTCCGTCTGTGGAACCCACTCTAGCTTCCGAACGAATTGAAGTAGATTGATACAATTTTGCTCAATTGTACGTTTTGTCTGCAGGACTTTTTGTATTGAAAATGGGCCATGTAGGTCCACGTTTTGGTATAGCTACCATATAACGGTACCTCCCGATATTCGGTACTTTGATGATTTTAGAGACATTATTCACCGGAATTGTTTCAAATTTGGTATTTGTAGTTCGTAATGGATACTACAGCCTAAGACAGAAAATTGTCTGTGTAGGTCCCCGTCTTCGCATAGCCTCCATAAAACGGTACCTCTCGATATTCGGAATTTTGATGATTTTCGAAACATTATTCACCGGAATTGTTTCAAATTACGTATTTAGAATTCGTAATGAGATCTACAGTCTGTGACAGAACATTTTCTATGCAGGTCCACGTCGTCGTATAGCCCTCATATAACGGTACCTCCCGATATTCGGTATTTAGATGATTTTAGCGACATTAGTAACCGGAATTGTCTAAAATTTGGTATTTGAAGTTCGTAGTGGGTACTACAGCCTAAGACAGAAAATTGTCTGTGCAGGTCTACGTCTTCGTATAGCCCCCCATATAACGGTACCTTTCTATATTCGGTATTTTTATGATTTTAGCGTCATTATTGACCGGAATTGTCTAAAATTTGGTATTTGAAGTTCGTAATGGATACTACAGCCTGAGACGGAAAATTGTCTGTGCAGGTCCACGTATTCGTATAACCTCCATATAACGGTACCTCGCTATATTCGGTATTTTGACGAGTTTAGGAACAATACCCACCGAAATCGTTTGAGATGTCGTATTTGAAGTTCGTAATGGATGCTACAGCCTATGACAGAAAATTGTCTATGCTGATCCAGGTTTTCGCACAGCTCCGATATAACTATATACGATATTTTGATGATTTTAGCTACATTATTCACCGTTTATTTCAAGTTTCCAATTTGAATATGGTAATGACTTATGACAAACAACGCCTATGTAGGTCCACATCGTATAGACACCAATATAACGGCTATATTCGGTATTTTTAAAAATTTAATAGAATTTTTTAAGGTTTTTATTTCCAAATTCGTTCCAACTGGTGGAGGGTATTCAAAGTTCGGCCCGGCCGAACTTACTGCTTTTTAATTTGTTTTTACTTGTATTAATATAGATTTGCCAAAGAGTGGAAGAGGGAGGAACTTGCAATCTTCATTTTAGCTCTACTTTCATAAATTGCTGGCCTTTCACGGAAGTTATTAAAAAATTAAAATTGATACTTTAACTTGTTTTTATTTATTTTATTTTGTAATTCGTTATCCCAAGCTCCTAAAATATAACATATACCGTTCAAATTCTGAAGCCTGCCACTTTTAGTCATAAAGATTCTGTCACAATTCCCAAAGAGCTGAATCTTTATTTTCTTCTTGCAAAAATTGTTTGATTTAGATCCACCATTTGATATGGCTTCCACTGCAGAGTACCTTATAATCTTCGGCATTGTGAAGATTTCTTCCTCAACGGAATCAGCTGTACAAGTTTATGTCGGTATTGATTCCGTATTTATGATAGGTTCTATATAACGATGCTTCCTTTTTTGTTATTTGGCTATAAGAAGTTCGGTTCGGCCGAACTTCATGCCATCTTCATTTCCAGGCAAAAAACATTCAATGTGACCAACCTGTACAAGATATACGTTCTAAAATTGTCCGTTGAAACTTATTTATGCTGATTATAATGTTACCCTATTTGCATCTTGAGATTTGCCTAGGAATTGAGGATCCCACTTGAATTTGAAAGACACCGTTACAGACAAATTACAAAGCTGAGTAAAGCTGAGTATTAAATCCTCACACATAGTTTCCGGTACTTGTTGTAGCATTGTTGTTGTACCATCGGCAAGCAACCACCATTCAAGCCTCAACACACATTTAGCCTTTTCTCGACCCCGGGAATTGTACTTGTCTCTATTACATTTCAGACAATTACGTTCATGCGTTTATTTGTTTTTTTTTTTAACATTGGGACACATTTTTACAATTTCCATGATTTTTTATATTACGGCAGCAGTAACCTGTCTTCGCTTTAATTTCGAAAAAAAAAATTACTACAACGGTTCTCCAATGGGTTTCTTTACAAAACACATGTCAATGAAATACCTATTCACCGATTTTAAAACAATAAAATATCCAAGTAACACATCAGTACTACATCAAACGAGGATGAGGTTTCAATAAAATTCATAAATAAGAAAATATCTGAAATGTTGATTCGGAGAGTTTCAAAAATCATGGTTATATTGACAATATTGAATTATGGTATGTATTTACACGTGTGTGCATGTCATATGGTGTATTTATTACGGACATAGTATTTCCATAGCTAATGCACAAAGCAAGTCAATTGAAGGGTGATTTATTAAAGTTAAAAAAAAATATAGTTAAAAAGCAGTAAGTTCGACCGGGCCGAACTTTGAATATCCTCCACCATTTGGAACGAATTTGGAAATGTTCAAAAAATAAAATCCTTAAAAAATTTTGCTAAAAATTAAAAATACCGAATATAGCCTTTATATTGGGGTCTATACGACGTCATAAGCCATTAACATATTCAAATTCGAAACTTGAAATAAACGGTGAAAAATGTAGCTAAAATCATCAAAATATCGTATATAGGGAGGTACCGTTATATCGGAGCGGTACGAAGACCTGAACCTGCATGTACAATTTTCTGTCATAGGCTGTAGCATCCATTACGAACTTCAAATACGACATCTCAAACAATTTCGGTGGGTATTGTACCTTAACTCTTAAAAATACCGAATATAGGGAGGTACTAGTATATGGGGCCCATACGAAGACCTGGACCTGCATAGACAATTTTCTGTCACAGACTGTAGTTCCCATTATGAACTCTAAATACATAATTTAAAACGATTCCGGTGAATAATTTCGCTAAAATCATCAAAATATCGAATATCGGGAGGTACCTTTAAATGGGGGCTATACGAAGACGTGGACCGTTATATGGGGTCTGCACCAAACGTGGACCTCTACATACAATGTTTCGCCACACGAGCTGGAACCCATTATGACCTACAAATACCAAGTTTTAAACAAATCCGTAAAAAAAACATCAACAATTAAACAACTATACCAAAACGTGGATCGATATATCTCATTTTCAATACCAACCATCCTAAATTTGGAAGCTATACGACCAATAATGTGGTTTGTATCGTGATTTCAACAGAAAAACGGACATCGTTAAATCGACTTAGAATTTTATGCTGATTACAAATACAGGGTGAGATAAAAAACTGCAACCACATTCAGAATGCTGTCATTTCTAAGCCACTCGTCCGATAGCTGTTAAAATTATTCCAGTGACAGCTCATTATATTGTTTACTAGCGTACAAAAGCACTTTGCTGAGAATTTTCCAGAAAAGAAGTTATTCGTGATGGAATTCAAGTTTGGTAGTAAGATTTCTTTATATTTGGCAGGAAAACCGCAAGTGGCTATCGTTAGAGCACTCCAGCATTTAAATGTGAAAAAATCGTTTGTGTCTCGTACCATCGCTCGTTACCGATTTCGTGATACTTGTAGCGTAGAAAACAGCAACATCAGCAGAAATGGTTCGAAAAGTAAAAAAGCGACTTGATCGAAACACGAGTGCCAGTGGCAGCAAAAATGGGTGGTGAGCTGAACATATCGCAATATTCTATTCTGAAAATATCGAAAAATTAGCTCGGGCCATTGAAATTCTAAGAAGTGCAAGAACTTACACCGCAATAGAAAGAAAATAGACTCAAAAGAGCTAAAGAGTTGCTTCACTTGGCCGAAAGTGTTAAACTGCCGAATTTGCTTTTCTCCGCGTCCGATGAGAAAACATTCGTTGTCCAAAAAAAAAAACAAAATGATCGTTTTTATATGCCAAACAGGTTAGCTGAAAATGTGCACCTTCGATTGGCCACCAGAACTCAAGCGCCGGCCATTGTGATGGTGTGGGCCGCCATAACAACCGATGGTTGCTCTCAGCTCGTATTAATCGACCGTGACATCAGAATAAATGCCGAATATTATGGCGAAAATATTCTGGAGGGTGTATTAAAACCTTGGGCACGCAAACATTCTGGCCGCAGACCTTGGACATTCCAACAGAACTCAGCACCATCGCACTCAACACGCGCCACCCAAGAATGGTTACAAAATGAGGTTTCTCGCTTCATTTCCAGTGCAAAAAGCTCCGGATACCAATCCGTTGGACAATTGTTTCTGGAGTATTTTGGAAAGCGCAAGCGCTTCACCGGGAATGGGCCTAACAAAATACCGCAGAGCAACATTCGGACAGCGTGTGACGGTTTCATTGGCCGTTTGAAGGCCATAAATAGTGCCAAAGGAGACCAATTCGAACAAATCTAAACTTATTCTAAAATTTGATGATGAATTTGATGTAAAATTATGGTTCAAATTTTCCATGAAAAACCTTTGAAGCATTTATCCTACACCCCATCAGTGGGCTTCATTCCAAATTTCAAAATTCTCGTACCTTAGTACATTTTAGTACACGTATAGTACCAATTTCCACAAATCCAGCCTTATCTCAACCCTTATACCCAAATATTGACCCAATTGTAAAATTTCAAGATTCCAGCTTTCGCCTGGGCGCCATTCAGTCAGTCACTCATCACTCGTCTCATTTTTATAAATATTGATCTAGGTATAGCCCTCATTTTAAGGGATAAGTCAGGATCTCATATGGTGGAGGATACAAACAATTAAAAAAAAAAACAGCTAAGTTCGGCCGGGCCCAACTTTTAAAACCCTCCACAAATTGGAAGGAAATGGAAAAAAATTGAAATTCGAAAAAAAAAATTAAAAAATCCGAAAACTACCACATAAATGAAAACCGTTATATAGGGACTATACGAAGAGGCAGACCTGAATAGGAATTTTTTTTCACATAAGTTGTAGTACCCATTAAGATCTTTCAGTACGAAATTTAATACAAGTCCAGTTTGAGTGAAATCGTCAAAATACCGAATATCGGGAGGTACCGTTATACAAATTTTTGCCATAGGCTGTACGAACTTCAAATACGAAATTTGAAATAATTCCGGAAAATAATGTCACTAAAATCATGAAAATACCGAATATAGGGAGGTACCGTTATATGCGGGCTATACGAAAACGTGGACCAACAATGCCCATTTACGAACTTAGCCTACCTACTGGTAAACTTTACATGTATGCAAAAATTTAGCCTTCTATCTCAATTCGTTCGAAAGACAGCGTGATTACAACAGACAGACAGTCGGGCAGACAGACAGGCGGACATCGCTAGAACGTTTTAGAATTTTACGCTGATCCAGAATATATATACTTTCTAGGGTCTATTATAAATATTTCGAGGAGTAACAAACGGAATAACAATGTTAATATACCCTCCATAGAATGGTGGAGGGTATAAAAATCGAATTCAGAATTACGGTGCACTTTCCACTCCATTAAAATAACTACTTTTCAAACGTCTATTTTTCCAGTTTCTGCATCCAAATCCAAATGTATTGGAAAGAAATACAACATTCGTCCGAAAGAGGACAACTTGAAAATTATGAAAAGGAACATCAGCAATCTGGATTATATCAACTTTGCAAGGCAACCAACGGGAGGGCTGTTAGAAAATACCGGTGAAACAATTCGAATAACATCGACATACAAGTCGAAGTACAGGCCATATATTCAAAAGGGACCACTCGGCGATGAAAAATACAAATTTGAGTTTTGTTATTTCCACTGGCTCGATAAGGAATGGGCAAAAGAAGCCGGCCTTTTGCCCTTTGAACTTCATACAGTATTCTCAAATACCCGATTTGGAAACTATGAAGAGGCTGCGAGAAGGAATTTTGGAATTGTTATATTGGTTATGAAACATGCGGTAAGTTGGAGTTTGAGTGGCGCCCAATTAAAAACCAAGGTGGAATAGACTTTTCACAACTTCAAAAGCTATAAAGATTGTAAATATGGCAATTTTGCCTCAGCCTACATTCCGAGCTATACGTTTTGACAAAAGTTTCTTCTACCTCGTAAAAATATCAAAAACATTTTTTTTTTGTTCATAAATTTAATATCCCAATATTTTCTGTTTCAGCCCACGGAGCCGAAATATTCCAATGGCTATTATGAACATTTAATGGACGTTCAAAATCCCAATGATGCCTACGAATTAGAAGAAGAAGAGGCATTTGCCCTATTCACAATATTGGAATTGGGCAATGTGTTCAGTGTGTACATTGGCAAATCGACGGTGCCAAATACCGTTTCATGCAATGCCGATGTCATATGGATAGACTATGACATGGTTGTTCTAATTATGTCCCACGAGGTAATGTCCAAAATTCAAAGCCACAAAATTATGATATAATACTGAATCAATTGGTATTGCAGGTAAAATATTTCAAAGATCTGATGGCGGTTGGAGACAGGCCAATGATGAACATCACAATTCCGACAACGGCACCGACATCTCCCATCTATCATTCCGTGTAACTTTTAGATTATGAAAGAAATGGTTGGATTCTTGAGCCATTCGAAGGTTTGGGAATTGCATTTGATTTTGGACGAAGTTTGAAAAATGTCAAGTGGTTAATAATGCTTGTTGTAGTTGTATTTTTGTTGTCTCAATTAAATTAATATTAGAAAAAAATTAAAAAAAAAAAACAAGTAAAAAAGCTGTAAGTTCGAACTTTGAATACCCTCCACCATTTGGTACAAATTTGACAATTAAAAAAAAAAATAAAATTCGTTAAAAATTCTGTTTAAATCTTAAAAATATTGAATGTAGCCGAATATTAGGGTCTATACGACGACGTGGTCCTGCATAGACAACTTTTGTCATAAGCTATTACAATATTTAAATGTGAAACTTGACAAAAAAATCTGTTTATAATGCAGCAAAAATCATCAAAATACCGAATATATGGAGGTACCATGGGGGTTGTAAAACGTGGACCAGCACAGACAATTAGGCTGCAGTATCCATTACGAACTTCAAATACCGAATTTGAAATAATTCCGGTAAATAATGCCGCTAAAAATCATTAAAATATCAAATATATCGGGAGGTACCGTTATATGGGGGCTATACGAAGACATGGACCTGCACAGATAATTTTCTGTCATAGGCTGTAGTATCCATTACGAACTTCAAATACTAAATTTGAAACAATTCTGGTGTATAATGTCGTTAAAATTAACAAAGTACCGAATATCGGGAGGTACCGTTATATGGGGACTATACGAAGACTTGGACCTGCAGAGACAAATTTCTGTCATAGACTGTAGTATTCATTACGAACTTCAAATACCAAATTTGAAACATTTTCGGAAAATAATGTCGCTAAAAACATCAATATACCGAATATATGGAGGTACCATGGGGGTTGTAAAATGTGGACCAGCACAGACAACTTTCTGCCTTAGGCTGCACTATCCATTACGAACTTCAAATACCAAATTTGAAACAATTACGGTGAATAAAGTCGCCAAAATAATCAAAATACCGAATATGGGGAGGTACCGTTATATGGGGGCTATACGAAGGCCTGGACCTGTATAGACAAATTTCTGTCATAGACTGTAATATCCATTACGAACTTCAAATACCAAATTTGAAACAATTCCGGTGAATAATGTCGCCAACATCATCAAAATACCGAATATCGGGAGGTACCGCTATATGAGGGCCATATGAAGACGTGGACCTGCATAGACAATTTTCTGTCTTAGGCTGTAGTATCCATTTCGAACTTCAAATAACAAATTGGAAAAAATTCTGGTGTATAATGTCGTTAATGGTCCCATTATGTGGGGCCTATACCAAAACGTGGACCTACATAGCTCATTTCCAATACCAAAAGACCTGCAAACATAATACACATTTGAGTAAAATTTTATCAACCTACTTCATTTCGTTCGGAAGCCAGAGTGATTTCCACAGACGGATAGACGAACATCGCTAAATCGACATAGAATTTTATCCTGATCAAGAATATATACACTTTGTGGAGTCTAAAATGTATATTTCGAGGTGTAACAAACGGAAGGACAAAGTTAATATACCCTCCATACTATTGTGGAGGTTATAAAAAAACATATCAAACCAAAATCTAACAATACCGAAGAAATCTCAATATTCTACCTAATGCACTATGCGCTATCGATAACAAATATATTGTCTCTTGGTTCGTGGTTTAAGTATCTGACAATATAAAAAGTTAAAATGACACGAAGCACCCTGTACTATTCCATAAATGTATTTCGCTGTTAAGCGAATTAATTTGTTCTGGGCTTTTGGGTTTTTTGCTTTGCTAATGGTTTGCAACTAAGATGTATTCCGATTGTAAATAATCGATATTTAAAATGTGTTCGATAACTCACCCAGCCAGTGGCTTGAGTTGCTAGTAAAAAATTAAAAACTTAAAATAGCCTGTAACACCCTGTTTATGCCATAGACGCATTTCGCCGTTAAGCGAATTTGGTCGTCATGGGTTTTTGGCTTTGGTGTACGGCAACTAAGATGTATTCCAATTGGAAACATTCCCATTAATCGATTGTTTACGTTTTCGATAACATGTCACAGATGCGCCCTCTATTCACAACCCAGTGTACTTACGGCTTACTACAACATATATATCACTTAAACATAGATGGCAGGTCTGAGCTCTATATCAAACTGTACTGACTTTACCACTTAACAGTTTGACATTAGTACAACGTTGACGTCTACATTGAAATTAATTTGGGAGAACAAACGACGGTGTTATGTCTTTGCTAATTCTTGTCTTGAAAACAAAAACCCATGATCTAACATCTATTGGCGATATATATTTGCGATAGATAAAGCTAACATATATCGCAAAGTGCAACAAATAGCCATCAGAGATTTTGATTGGAGGTTGATTTTTAGCAATTCGTTATAAGAGGTTATGAGAAGAAAAAAAAAAACAATAGAGGAAAGTCTTAAAGTCGGGCGGAGCCGACTTTATGATACCCTAAACCACTTTGCATATTTAGTAGAGCTTCACATAACAAATAAAAGTTTTAATGCGGAATTTATGAGAATTAAATTATACCAACTGTGATTAAGTTACAATTTAAAGTCCAAAGGAACTAAGATTTGGGAGGAATATCCTCCTCTGAAACGATTTCTACTAAATTTTGTCGAGGCATTTGCGCCTTTTCACATCGGGCTTGTATTATTCATTTGGTGCACAATTAACTTGAAATCGGATAAATTTATATAAGAGCTATATCTAAATCTGAACCTCGACATCGATAAAATTTGGCAAAGGTATTTCGGAGCTGTATATGATATATTTCCCCGAATATCGTTACTACGGAGTCCATATTACGGCTATGCAGGGCAAATTCAACAAATCGAATGAACAATATGTATGGGAGCTATAGCTATATCTGAACCGATCTTCATCAAATTTTATCCCATTCGGGCAAATATTACACGTTTGGTGCACAATAAAAGGCAAATCGGACGAAGATATATATATGGGAGCTATATCCAAATATTAAGCGATCTCGATAAAATTTAGCAAGGGTAATTCTGAGTTATATTTGATGTATTTCCCCAAATATTGTTGTTACAGAGTGCATATTACGGCTGCGGAGAACAAAAAAAAAAAACAAATCGGATGAACAATATGTATGGGAGTTATATATCTATATCTGAACCGATTTCGATCAAATTTGGCATACTTATTTTCAGGTCCAATTTGGTCGAAATCACTCTAGCTTCCGAACGAAATGAAGTAGGTTCATAAAATTTTACTCAAATGTGTATTATGTCTGCAGGACTTTTGGTATTGAAAATGAGCCATGTAGGTCCACGTCTTCCTATAGCCCCAATATAACGGTATCCCCCCCGATATTCAGAATTTTGATGATGTTAGCGGAATTGTTTCAAATTTGGTATTTGAAGTTCGTAATGGATACTACAGCCTAAGAAAGAAAATTGTCTGTGCAGGTTCACGTCTTGGTATGGCCCCAATATAACGGTACCTCCCGATATTCGGTATTTGGTTGATTTTAACGACATTATACACCAGAATTGAATTTTGGTATTTGAAGTTCGTAATGGATACTACAGCATAAAACAGAAAATGGGCCATGTAGGTCCACTTCTTCGTATAGCCCCATATAAAGGTACCCCCCGATTTTCGGTATTCTGATGATTTTAGCGAAATTATTTACCAGAATTGTTCCAAATTTTGTATTTGAAGTTCGTAATGGATACTACAGCATAAAATAGAAAATGGGTCAGGTAGCCCCCATAAAACGGTAACCCCCAATATTCGGTATTCTAATGATTTTAGCGACATTATTTACCGGAATTGTTTAAAATTTCGCATTTGATGTTCGTAATGGATACTACAGCCTATGACAAAAAATTGTCTATAAAAGTCCACGTTTTACAACTCCCATGGTTCCTCCCTATATTCGGAATTTTGATGATTTTAGCTACATTATAAACTGATTTTTTTTCTTCAAGTTTCGCATTTGAATATTGTAATAGCTTGTGACAAAAGTTGCCTATGCAGGTCCACGTCGCCGTCCAGACCATAATATACGGCTACATTCGGTATTTTTAAGATTTTAACAGAATTTTTAACGGATTTTATTTTTTTTGAAAATTGCCAAATTTGTACCAAATTGTGGAGGGTATTCAAAGTTCGGCCCAGTCGAACTTACATCTTTTTTACTTGCTCCGAATTTCAATGGGTCATTTTTCAATATTTGCCGAGTGCAGTTTCTTTATCTCACCCTGTATTTATGAATTCCTGGCGTTTAGACTTTAAACTTCTTCCGGACCTATATCAGAATTTTATGACAAAATATTTCGTAGAATATTTTGATTTGCTACAATCCCATTTAGTTGGAGTTTTTAGTCATATTTTGAAAAAAGGACCAAAAAATACCCTATTTGGTGACTCGCTGGAGGGTCCAACCAAAAATTCACAAAGAATAAAGTTTTATAAACAATTATTTACTTACGAATAAGACCTAAACCGGTTCTTAAAACACGCTGTTGATAATATCTATATATGTGCAATAAAGAACTTCGAGCTTCGTCCACCTGACACTGCAGAACGTTATCTCCATTAACATTCCTTCATCAATTTTTACTAGCCTCTGGCGATGATTCGCATGCGCTTTTGAATCCAGCATCATTTTTATGAATGAATTACTGGCAGAGAAAAAAATACCACTCAGCTGAGTGTAAAATCAATGAATGATTCATACCGACATTCATTCATGCATTTCATCATTTATTCACTCATTAAGGAATGTGATCAGAAGGCTGCTGTGCGGCGACCACCGGCTGACAGACTGGCTGCCTGTTGCATTCGCTAATAACTAACTACTTAGTTTGCATAACAAATTCCTTGCGAACAGAGTTCATTTTAATGGACTTGTTCACCTCTAGATTTTTGTTGTTGTTCTTGTTGTTGATGATGATCAATGCTTTTACCCCTCCCCCTTTCCCCCCTCAACCACTCTCATTCTCAGCTAGAATAGTCATTTGAATACAATGCCTCAACTAATGGCCAGATATACTTTCAAATACTTGTGATTAATAACAATTGAATTTAAAAAAAGAAAAAAAAAAATACCAAAACTAGCAACAACAACAAAAACAACAACATTTTATTCATTAAATTAACGGACAACGCTACTGAGGCCGTCGCTGGAGCTAGCTTTTGCCACAA